CTGAGAAGAAGATGAAAAATTATAGCTTCAAAAGATAAATGAACAGATGTTCATAAGTAATGAGCATTTTCCTCAAATGAGTGGCTCGAGAGGCTAACGTATAAACAATTGTTGGAGGTTAATCCGCTTTACAGGCATCACTTGAAGATGAAACAAATTTTAACAAATGATTTTTGAGTGAGCTCATTTCCCATGAGTGTAGTTTATAGAGATTGCATCATAATGAAAACTCCCGTTCAATAGAATCCACATACACTTTACAGAGTCTAGACATTGGAATATATTTCTGGCTATGTCAATAGAGAACATGTGGTAGCATGAGGGGAGGGGGGTGAGAAAGAGAACAGCAGAGAGTTGAAGCAATTCTTCCTAGCTGTCGAATGTGAAATAGAGAATCATTTTCAATCTTTGTCAATCATTAATGAATCATTCTGCCTCGCAAGATGGCACTTTTCACAACTGGTGGTATTACAATTCTTTCAACACTATGATTTCCAATGTCCAGAGAAACGCATGCGAAAGTACACATTGCGATCATTGATTCATTGGTTGCAGGAAAGACATTTTCCAATCGAGTCATCTAGACAATCTTCTCACAACAATCATATGCAGTTACACACCGATATTGTACCGATATATATTATATCTCGTAGAAAAACAAGAGATTTTGAATACGAATTAATATAAAATGCCAGAAACGAACAATTAGTCTGGGAAAGATAAATTTTGGTTTTGGAAGAAATATAGCGATAAACTAAGATGAAACGAGAAATTTCATACATTTTTTCACTATATCTTTGTATTAGCTGATGCCTCTAATTGTTCGTTATTGGAAGGCAGCAATTTATGATTCCATAACCACTTTGTGGCACTGAAGTTGCTCTAGGAGATGAATCATTTTCCAATCTTTTTTTTTCTCTTAAGACGTCATCGACTCGAGAATTGAATAAAGAGAGACAGCGAAAGAAAGAAAAGAGAGTAAGATATATTTTCAGAAGGATTGCAGGTATCGAAATAAGGCAAAAACATGTTTATCAACGTTTTCAACACTTGGTCACTCGATTTCTGCGAAAGGGTAAGAGATAAGATAAATAGATCTGAACAAATGGCAAATATAGAGATTTTCTGAGATATTTGTATGATGTATGAAGTAACTCTGTTTTAAAAACCCGTTTCTTATATGTTCATTCTTTTTGGCTCATCGGCAAGAAAACGAGCGGTGCGTAGAAAGCACAACGACTTCGAATCGATAGTCTTGCATATAGTAAAACGTAAGAAGAAAATAACAAATAATAGCTTTAACATATAATGAACAGATGCCCGTAGATGATTCACATATCTAACAGTGAAAAGCAAGACAGCTGCATTGGTTACTCAACATTTGAGAAGAAAACAAATTAATAATGAAATCAAAAATTCGATCTAGTTTTCAAAATAAAGGATTTGGTGAAAAAAAAAGTTGAACTTTAAAGCGATTCATTTTCTTTATTTCAATCTCCAAAAAAACAGATGAAAGTTTATATGGAGCGTCAGAGTAGTTCCTCATTTTCAATGCTTCAAAAAGTATTGAAAATAAAACTAATTATGAACAACTCACTGCCATGAGTAAAGACAACAAGTTCAGAAGAACTTAAGAGAAAAACCTCTACGTTCGTACAACATGTATATACCTTAACTACAACAACTCGATGAGACTAGTGATTATAAAGCTATAAGAGTAAGCTCCGAAGGTGGCTAACTATTAGAAAACAATTAGAATATCTGTTCGGCTACTATTAAAAGAATGAATTGGAAAATCAATAAAACAAAGAGATGTGTGAGACGGCGTGGGTTCATGCAACTTACAGCTGTTTTCATTATTGAATGAGTAGACGCGCATCTTTTCTAATGCCAGATGTGACCTACTGCTAAAATACCGCTAGAATACAAATGTTTGTTTGTTTACTCATTTGAACTTATGTTGTTATTGCTAATAACATATGATAATTAATCATTGATTACTCACTACAGTTTTTATGAGTCAAAAACTTCAACATTTTCATTCTACCTTCAACCATCACTATTAAGTCTATTGCAAATCGTTGAAAATATTCTTTTCTATCAAAAAAATATTTTCCGGATTTCATTCTCAAATATTCTCATCGATGTAAAAGCTGCTCAGGATATGAACATTGAAAGTTCTAAGTTATCTTCCTAGTTTTTTTTCCTTTCATTGTCATTCCCATTCTTTGTGTTCTTGTGTGACCAGCCTTTGAACGGCTTCTTTTGAACTATAAATCAGTCACTTTAAAAAAAAAACACTCACACAGTCAAATAAGATGATGTTTAAAGGAAAACCGTGACGATTCCCTTATTGTAATAGAAAATTGATTAAATGCTACAATGATCGTAGGGTGTGTATGTGTGGATTCATTCACATTTCACACCAACGTATTGTTACGGACTATCTTTGTTTCCTTACAACCGCAAGACTATAAGATGCGGATAGTTTTTATTTTCCCGTTTCGAATGATGAAACTGAAAAAGACTCTAGAGCGATTGCCCTAAAAGATTAATCTTTCTCATTTCACTTTTCCATTCCAAAACTAAACCAACTTCTTGGACCTATTGATTATATTATTGATATATAATGTTTATTGAATACTTTCTCTTTATGCTATTCGGTCATATGAAGTCAAATAGTAGGCGGAGCAACTAGTATAAGACTCTTATTAGAGCGAAGAGGCGTGTACGTTCAAATCTCATGTCATTGAAAGGCAGAAAATATATCAAAGTCTCCTGTTGTATAATTTCACTTTGATAGTTTATTTCGCCCAAATTGTGCTCATGAAACATCTGCTCTTCAGAAATAATACCCATGAAAAATTGAAAAAAAAAAACTTTTGTCATTTTTTTCCGATCCGAATCTCATTGACTATTGACCACTCTACCCTTTCACATATTTTACAGCTGCTAAAAGAAAATCGTACAACATTCCTCTTTCTTAATCTTCACATGTAATTTGCCATATTTTATTCTCTCATAGTTTACCAACACTTTTGATATCCATGCTCTTTAATGAATATATAAAATGAATTAATACGTTAATTTCAAATTTAGCATAGAAATTCTTCTTTTTACTTCTTCTCTTTTCCAGCATGCACATAGCTTGCCACTAGGCTGGATCAACTTTGTATGCGACATAGTCTCACTACTTAGTTCTAATTATCTCATTTTGCGCTAAATTAAGCATTACAAATTCGTTTCGCTTTCATATATCACTTAATGAACGATATTCGATTCTTTATTAAAGTAATAATCTTTATTCCATTTTGCTCACAGAGATACGCATTGTAGTCCAATTTCCTTAACAATAAGGTTCATTCTATCCATCTGAATATCTAGCTATTGCTTTCAGCATCAGATTTATTTCATTTCCTTTATCTTTATAAATGCTCTCTGAAGGAAATTGCCTAAACCGTTATAATTTCAGGTTCTCATAAACAAGAGCCCCTCCCATCAAATCGGACATTCTGACCAGCGCCGTCCAAGTTGGAAGGACAAATAGCTGGCAAGTGAGTTGCCCTTTGCATTTGATCAAACTAGAAATATAACACTTTTGCTTTTGTGTAAAAAGACCAAAACCATTATATTCTACAGCATGACAATTAGATATGTGTGTATGCTCATATCTAATTGTCATGTTGTAGAATATGGGAACCAATAAATAAAAAAAAGATTTCATTTGCTTCTATTACGATAGCTTATATGTCCTCTTTCCTTGACAAAATTAAGTAATAGCGTAGTAAAGCGTTTTTAAATGCTAAATTCAAAACTATTGATCTTAAAACTAAGTAAATCTACTTCTCCATAGCTTATTAATTTTGTGAGCCCAACGCTGAAATTATTAATTAAGTTCATTTTTACACACTCATATATACATATGTGTATTTATACATACACAGACATACATACACACATGTATGCTATGAGATGTGTTGATATAGATAATAGAAGTATGAGAGAGAGTGAATTTCTATTATACAAAAAGATGCGCGCTTAGAGATAGTTAGACTATATGAGAGATAGATGAATAATGTAGTGAGAGTGTGTATAAGCACGAGAGAATTAGAGATGCACAGACAAAGTGTATGATAGACACTATGTATGAGACTGACTGAATATAGTATAAGTTAAAGTAAATATATTGTTATAAAATTGTTATTATTCATATAAATAAAATATTTATATTTTCAAAAATAATAACAATAAATTTAAAATATACTTTTAAAGTATTTCATCCGAATAATTCTGAATAATGAAAAATATTAAATATATATTCTGAAGCTGAATATTCTATCATATTTAGTTTTCACATACTCATTACCTCTGTATCTATCTCAATAATCTGTTTGTTTATTCATGTTTACTCTTTGAACATTTTGTTTATGACAACAATTGTAAACAAAAAGGTCATTTTAAGTTCTTTCTTCTAACATCTTTTTGAATTGATTTCATTGCTCATCTTACATCATTTGGTTGAGAAAACAATCTAATTTTCTCTTAAAGGTAGATCAGACATCGTAAAATCGGCTTTTTCAAGCTGTATACGGTGTATATGTCCTTTTTTTTAAAGAAAGACATTTGAATATAGCTTTCAATAGATAGACTAAGACATATACGACTTATATATATATATATATATATATATATATATTTGTTATATGTCCACATATCTATAAGAACAGATGTCTATTCATAACGAGCAATTTCAAATTGGGGTGGATATACACTCTTGAAAGTCTTTCCGAATTATTAAAAGTTAATCTTCAACCAGCAGGTGATGCTTCGTCTTTTATAAATTGCGCTTCATTTCTTTTTTTTGCCCGTCGGAATAATTATCTGAAAGATTAGAGTGGATTAACCTGAGATGAGATGAAGAGTTCAGTGTGTAACTGAGCAAAGATTTTTGACATCTCAAAAAGATAATGCTTCGATGAGTTTCTATTTATGTATTTCTTCGAAGCATATTGACAAACACTTGTATAGAGTATGATCCCGAAAGTTCAATTATGAGGTTGATTACATTGGAATTTGAATTCATTCATCTGATAAAACTGCTTTTGCTTCATTTAACAACAAAAGATCGCATTCAGCATTTTCTTCTCATTCCCATATTCAGTTATTACAGAATTCAAAAATAAATGTGACTCGATGTTCGTTTACTCCGTTAATATGAAATTAAAAACTCTGCGTCAATGCTCACTCATATGTTTCTACGCGTCTAATTTCTACTTCGTTATGCCAATGCGACGTTCGTCTAGTTATGAATGAGAATGTTATCAAATTATATGAACACACCCGAATGGTACATTCATACAGTTCAGATTTCCTTTTATTCTATTAATTTTTTTTGCTCACACTACCATCATTTACATATTTCCATGAAATTGTCCGTTTTGAACATCTGCGCCTGTAGACCGAACAGGGGAGTTCTGGAAGTAATATGACCTATGTGCGACCTAGTTAATCTGCATACGCTGAAAGCTCTACCGAAAGGAAAAATTATATTTTCCTGATCTAAATGAGCAGATGTCAATGGGTAATGAGCAATTCCTACTGCCAAACGCTTTTGAGCTGCATAGACACCACTGCCCTCAACCACCCTGAATTTCTCAGAACTAATTTCCTCTCTCCTATTTCTTGTGCTCTCTCGTATGGTGTTCGCACGCCCCTTTCGGCCACAAACAGCAAAACCAGAGCACATGTCTGAAATTGTTCCATAACATTTCATTTTCTCATTTGAACAGCTCTGGTGCTAACCATCAGGTGAATTTTATCGAAGCTCCCAAACTTTAGTTCCCGGTTTCATATTTCCATAACGCTAGAAGTATTTGAGATGTTTGAAATTTATTTCGTTATAATGTTTGTAACTTAGCTACTGATATTTATCTTCATATCAAAAAAAATATTTTGAACACAAAAAAATTCTCAAAATTTTTAAAAAACTTAAAAAACTCGGAAATTCTGATCGATTTTCAGAAATCACAAATTCGATAGTAAAAGTGTTTTTCTCGAAAAAAAAATCCATCTCACTCACATGCACCTACATTGTATATGAGTTATTGAAATAGATATTGCAAAGTTTTGTTGTAATCTCCAATGCCGTGTTTCTACACTCTACACTATTTTACTAATCTTAATAGAACATTCCAATCTAATTTTAACTAAAACTATCCATTCATCTTCGTTCATGTAAAAAATGATGCTGAACATTCTTTTATCTCAGTTGTATTTCCCCGATCTCATAGTTTGTAGTCTGATATATGAGTTTGTCTATTCCTGAGCCTCTCGACATTTTGCAGTCTAGACCAGACTAACTAATGATAGAGGCGGTGCACCCTCTAGTCTCGCCTCTTATAGTGTCTGTCAATTAGTATTATTGTTGGCGTCCTGTCTAGACTACTTAGTAATATACTCTTACCACTTGATCAATATTTCTTTTCATGTGTTTCTAATGAATCTCTCAAACTATATATATATATATATATATATATATATAGCAATCTCAACCTCAAAATTTGTGTGTAGCTCTCACTACACATTTTTTTCATCAAGGTCTAGCCAGATTTGAAGTTCGTGGAAGCTTCAGAATCCACGAACTTTAAATTAGCTTCACTCAGAGGTTGAATTCATAACTTCCTTCAGAATTGATTTTTTGCTACACGCCGTTCCGTATAGAGAGGTTATGCTCCTTAACGCTTTTCTGGTCTACAAAGCCTGAAATGTTTTTGAACCCCTTTCCGCCAGATTTTAAGATTTTGAAAAATGAAAAAATTTTTTTTTTGTTGACCTATAGGGTGACGATTATTACTGGCCACGGGTGTATATATAAATATATGTGAACTTTATCTGATATTTTACATTAGGGGAGATATGGATGATTTGGACGAGTTCTTCTTGGATGACATCAATCTCCGTACTCCACCACATAGACCAGAGCACACAACTCAAAATGGAGATTATCAGAGACCAGCCGATTTCGTGCATTTCAACGACGCGGTTCCTGTTAACGCCGCTTCACCTCTTGATCCCAACTATCAGCAACAACCGAATCAACCACAACAACAACAAGTGAACTACATACTATGGCTAGAATAATCAAAGAAATACAGGAAACCATCGCTGATGCTGGTGCAGTCCCACATCCACACAATCATCCGAATCCGACTAAAGGCTCAATTGGCTTGCAAAATGCAGAGGTGTAAATTAATCTTCCGTTTCTGGATAGAAAACAATCGTTAAGGCGGATTTAAGCAGAGAAGATCCGATGGCGGCAGAAACAGAGGCAGCTGTGTTTCATATGATCGCTTCTGAAGTGAATGAAGTCTCAGAAATGATACCTGTAAATAATAATCTTATTGACTGAAGTTTAAAATTATTTAATTAAGGACGAGCCGACTTCTTCTTCAGTCTCTAGGAATCAGTTTGTTTCGTTTGAATCAGCTGCAGCTAACGAACGCAGCTCAACTCAGCCAATGGAGGTTAGAGCTTTCTTGCATTTCCACCAAGAAATGTTTCTTAGACTTATAACACTGAGAATCGAGTAGTGGCGAACAACAATAAAACTGTCTCTCTCGCCAGTCCTCAGTCAACCGACAAGCATATAGGCTCATTGTTTTCTACTTCAAGAATGGGAGAAATTGCAAATACTGTTGCAGACATAGAGGTAAAGCGACTCATTTCTGTGAAAATGAGGTAGATTATTTAGATGGCACTGTTCGGAGAGCTGTTGATTGACAAAAACAAAAAAAAAGCAGCTTCTCAACAAGATATAAAAACAAATGAGGTAGAGGCATGGGTAATCGATAACGCTTATAACATTCTTAGATCATTCCGAATAAAACTGAAGTATCTGCAGAAGATGTTCATGTAGATCTCCCACAACAGAAAGAGCTATCTGGAGCAAAAAACTCAGTTTTTGAAAAGGTATGAAAGCTTAATTCCGAAAAATAAAAATAAAAATGAAGGATCCATTGTTGCTTAATCTATCCGGAGATCAAATAGTGGAAACAAGCAAAGGTGGGTTGGACACGTCGGCTGAAATAAAAGAGGTAAGAGCATGTAGTAAGAAGGTTCAAATTTTTTTTTATAGAGAAACACTACCGAACCTGAGAACGAGGAGGTTCGATTTGATTCTCCTCCTGACATTGATACAGTAGAATCAAACAACTGTAACGTACTTAAGGTATCAAAAGATAGAAAAATTAAAATGAAAAAATAAATTTTAAGAGAAGTCACGACCGTAAAAAGAATAGCTTGACCGATGAACCCTCTAGCTCCCAGTGCGACAATTCAAAAGCTTTGATTCCCTATAAGGTATACAGTGTACATTTCTTCTAGAACAATATTTAATCTATAATAACCCTTTATAGCCCAAGTTGCAGTTCAATTCTTCCGAAATCATGCAAACATATAGTCCTGATGGTAAACCAACTAATCAAATAGTAAGAGTTCGAATTAGTGTACGGAGTATTGTCTAATGTTTCAGATACTTAAGATTCGTGCTAAGATTCCTCATAAAAAAGAGACTGATCCAAAGCTTTTTAATGGTGAACCAGTAACGATTCATCAGGTATAAGCCAAAATCATTCTCACTTCTTGAAAAATAATGCAATTAAGAGTGATTCTTGCGAAGAAAATGGCTGTAACACTACAAAACATGTAAAGGATACTGGTTTCTGTGAAACTGAAAAGGTTGAAGAGGTTAAAAACCCAATAAATGATGATGGTGCTGACAACCACAAAAATAGTCGACAAGTTCAACAAGAAACAGCTGATATAAACAAATCGAAAGCCTCGGTTCTATATGAAGTGCCCAAGCTACACCAATCTCCTCAACACTTTTATGTTCAGGAGTTCGATTCCGGTCAGGAACAACCGCAAACTCTTGATGAAAATCTTTCCAAGAAAGAGAAAATGGTTAGTAATAAGTCGATTAACACTGACAACTTACTTGTATTTATTAAGAAAAGTTCAAAGAACTACGAGAATGGTAAAGTTCAAACGGAACCTATTGAACAGAGTAAACCAGATAACCTTGAAGAGAATACTTGTGAAGTATGTTAGCTTGAAAATTTTTATTTGTAAGTTTCAAATTTTAGGATGATAATACAGCTGGTTGTGTTAAATCGAAACTTTGGGGGACGGAAACAAAGCAGGATGAATTGACTGGAGAGAAGACAGAGGGAGAGACTGGAATGAGTTTAGAGGAAAAGAAAAAAAAAGGCAAGAAACTCCATATACCATTTAATTATGGAAGGAGAACTTTGAGAATAATCTTGATATGTTGAAATATACAGAACGAGACATGGAGAAGTGGCATCATGAAATTTCGAATCATATACGCACGTGGAGGGTTATTCGTTACATTCAAAAATTTGCTCCTCATGTGTCCAATTACAGAGAGAAAAACTTCTAGAGACATCTAGTGGATATGTTGATTTATTTAACAAGGCAGAGGAACAGAACGGATCAGTCTCTGATATGAGAGCGGATGATGCAAGACCAAGCAATGACGAGAATTCCATTGAGAAGTCCAACAAATTGAAAATGAGAAAATCGGAGAATGACAAGAAGGTTATGAGAGCTGTACAGTTCAATTGATATTTATGCTTTTCAGTCA